TTAAATTGGGAGGCCGATTGATTTAATTTCTTTTAATTATCTTAACTTTTGTATTGTATGTATTTTAATTTTGGCTGTTCGCTGAGTCCCTGAGTCCTGAGTCCCTTTTGGGAGAAGGGCGGTATACAAATTAAATAAAAATAAAATAAAATAAAAACATCCAAATTTTGATCACATGACCACAGGAATGCTCCAACAGTCATAAATGTGAAAAACGGTCACAAGTCACTTTTTTTCAGTGCCGTTGTAACTCTGAACTGTCACTAAACAAACTGTTGTAAGTGGAGGACTACCAGCAATGGCAGTTCCTATCCACTGTTTCACTGCCCACTAGTAAGTAATCACAACCATTACAGGTAGTCCTCGACTTAAGACTACAATTGAGCCCAAAATTTCTGTTGCTAAGTGAGACATTTGTTAAGTTAGTTTTGCCCCGTTTTGCAACTTTTCTTTCCACAAATCACTGCACAGTTATTAAGCTAGTAAGAAGGTTGTTAAGGGAATCCGGCTTGAGTTTGCTGGTCAGAAGGTCACAAACGGAGATTGCGTGACCCCAGGACACTGCAACTGTCATAAATATGAGTCAGTTGCCAAGCATCTGAATTTTGATCACACAACCTTTGGGATGCTCCAATGGCTGTAAGTGCGGAGAAACGGTCGTAAGTCACTTTCTTCTTGGATGAGAAGCGAAACGTTTTCAAAGAAAAACCAGAAGGTCCAATTTGCCTCTTGAAAAAAAAGCACCTTTGGGACAACCATGACCTGGATGACTGAGAAGCTCCACAGACTTTCTTCAGTGCTGTTGTAACTTCCAATAGTCACCAAATGAATTCTTGTAAGTCGAGGACTACCTGTATTCATGGCTGGCACTGGTCAACATACGGCACGGCTGCACTATGTCACAGGACCAGAGTCCCTTTTGTGTGATTCCAGGAAAAACCCACAATTGATCACCGGAGCTAATGTTTACTTGGCTTTCCCCAATATCTGCCTTCTGGACATGTTGAATTTTAATTCCTGTTATTCCTACCTAGTGTAGCCAAAAGGGAAATGGTAGCCAAGCTCTAATCTTTCTGGAGGGTAGTATTTCTGAAGTTAGGGGAAATTGTCATCGTTCGTACCGTTTTGAGGCATAATAGCTTTGACTCTGCCTCAGGCATGGACTAAATTTCCTGGCAGCTGAGCAATGCTTTATGCCCAGAAAGCAGGTTGCTTCAAATGAGATGTGCCACCACTGCAGTCATAATCATCAGGTAGTTCTAATAGCTAACATGAAAACTCTGTATAATAGCCATTGGTGACAGCGCCCTGGGAAAAAAGTTGTCCCAGTTATTAATTATAATTATTAGGGACCATAAGCTTTTAGCTACAAGGGACAAACAGAGAAAAAACAAAAATTACAGTAATTTTAAATATTGCTGATCAGGAAAAGAAAATCCAAGAAAATGTAGCCATGATTATTGGGTGAAATGCAGAAAGTTTGAGTTTTTGCAGTTTTTCAAATACCTTTGCTTATTTTATTTAAAAAAAAAAAAATCAAGAATCAAGAAAGTAATCACACTAAAACCAGTAATGAACTATCAAATGGATCATGTTATTGTATTCATGCTCCGCTTATGAGATTGCCATAGATTTCTTGGTGGGATTTTGGGGGGGGGGCGGGGGCAGAGAAGGAAATGAGATGCTAGGCTAGAAAGGTTTTGATTGATCTAGCAAGACTCCTATGTTCAATGGAAAAGAAGAAAATGAAGGGCTACAATCCAGCCATCCTAATCAATAAACAGGAATGCTCCAATCGTACACCAAGAGACAACTGGGTGGTTCGTGGGAAGAGATCTATAGCTTGATAGGAGTTTTGCCTGACACTTTACCTACCACTACAGAGTAATAAATCCAACAATCTTAGTTGCGTAGTTCATTGATGCAAAACTGCATCAATATGACTTAGTATGTAGAAGGTGGGTTTAGGATACCATCACCAAGAGACCCAAAGTTCAAAACTTCCTCAGCAGTGAAGTTCAAAGGATGAGGTTATGGTTTTAGAGTAGCTATTCAACAGGTGGTGGCGGGAAGTTGTTCTGCCCCAACGGCCCTCAGATTCCATTTCTCGTTTAAATGCCTAAATTTGAGATGTTTTACGAGGAGCTTCAGATTAAAACAGCCATCTACATTATGAGTGACATTCAGGTTTATTTTCTTTTTCCTCTAATTAATACCAGGAAAATATTGGACAGATGTCTGAAAAACAATTTTGAGGTTGACGTGTTCAAACAAACAGAGGCACTGTCCAGATAATAGACATTTTGCAATAGGGGAAATCTGAAGGAGCAAAACTCATGTGGGATGCAATTGCATCAGGTAAACAGAGGTTCCATGTGCTCTGTACTTTCTGGGGGAGCTGAGATGCTCTAATTAATCAGGAATCTGCCTTAGCAACTTCAGTTAATTCACTGCTGTGCCTTACTTGAAAAAAAAAAAGCAAATCCTGAACAACAGACTCAAAGTAGAGGAAGGAGCCATTTTGCTAATCATAAAACAATTGATAAATATTTTTTATTACCAACTGGAAACCTTTTCTGGACTTTTTGCTGAAAACATAAAACCCCCTGGAAAAGATGGATTTGATTATTAGAAAGGGTAAAATATAGGAAGAAGGGAAAAAATAGATGATAAATGTATTTGTAACCACTGTAAAGAAAATTGGAAGCTGCTTCTTTATACATTCATCTTTTTCCTTTCTTTATCTATTCATTATTTTTGTTTATTCTTTTTCCTCTTTCTTAAATTTATACCGCTTTTATTATTGTGTAAAATTCTTCAATAAAAAAAAATTGATTTAAAACTGCTTTGTCAAAATGAAGATACATTATGTTTACAATTTTTCAGAGTCCACAAAGAAATATATATCCAATAATAATGGAAATAATGTCAGGTAACTCCAACAAGAGTTGTTCTTGAGAAATCCATGTTGAATTCTATTAACCACTGTAGTGTTTTCAAGATGATTTATCACCAATCATTTTATGTCTGGCTCTAGAGACTTCCTAAGTGCTGTCAAACTGTGATTCACCAAATCTTCCTCTCCCCCTGAAGAGAAGTGGCTTATTCTTTTCTTCTTCTGTGTCTGTTTTGATTTTCAGAACATTGTGTTTTTTGTGCAACTACATTGATTTCTGCTATCTTCCATTTTTTTTTGTCATTGCAAAATTTTGCTGCTCTTTTGTTGTTAAATTATTTGCTATTGTGCATTTAGTATTTTTTCTTTTTTTTTTTTTTACAAATTTCCCTTCATTTTGTGATGGTGTCTCCTGCCATGGGGTCCTATTATCATTACATTACTAAAATCTGCTTTTTGTTCAAGGTAAACATCTAACTATACTCAAATGTTAGTTTTCTTTAAAGCATTATATGGTCACCTTTAACAGAATAACAGAACAACAGAGTTGGAAGGGGCCTTGGAGGTCTTCTAGTCCATCCCCTGCTCAAGCAGGAAACCACATACCATTTCCGACAAATGGCTGTCCATTTTCCTTAAAAGTACAACCATTTTTATTTTCTAGTCTACTTGTTGGGAGCAAGTCAAGAACAATTGGTCCCTTTATGCTTTTCTCCATCTCTGAAGGACAAAATATCAGAGAACCAACTCAGGAATTTTCTGGACAGTCCATTTTTGACAATTTTTTTTTTCATCCAGCAGATCCTGGGGCAGTTAAGTGGCTTTACAGGTCCCATTATACTTTTAGTATACAGTATGTTATATTTGAAGTATTTAGCTCTGACTTTCAGGGTTAAGTTTAAATCCTTTCTGATCATTTGAACAAACACATTCTTCCCAGTCCTTGTGAGACGCGATCTGGTTATATACAGTTTAACTGCAATAATGTTGTTTGTAGAACTTATTTAAAAGACAATTCAGGAAGTTCATTGGTACTAAATTCCACTGTTTGTTTGCTCTGAAGATCAAACTAACACAACTTTTGTACCATCTGCACTTGCTGTATTTCTGGAGCCAAGTAAAGTACAACTTATTTATTTTTATTTACTAGGCTTATATCCTGGTCTGGACATAATAAATTTGAGTGGATCTTAAAAATTAAATTTAAAACATAAACACATTTAAACATATTTTGGGATTAGGGTTTTTGAGTTTTGCCCCATTTTATGATCTGTTTTGATGCAGTTGTTAAGTGAATCACTGCAGTTCTTAAGTTAGTAACAAGGATGTTAAGTGAATCTAGCTTCTCCACTGACTTTGCTTGTCACAAGTTCGCAAAAGGTGATCGCATGACCCTGGGGCATTGCAACCGTCATAAACATGAACCAGTTGTCAAGCATCCGAATGTTGATCATGTGACCTTGGGGATGTTGCAATGGTTGTAAGTGTGAAAAATGGTCATAAGTTACTTTTTCAGTGCTGTTGTAACATTAAACAGTCACTAATTGAACTGTTGTAAATCGAGGACTATCTATATTTAAAACAGCTGAGATTATAAGATGTTTAAATAGCTGAAGAGGTCTTCTCATTGTGTTTCAGTTTTTTAAGGACCATCTAGATCAGGGCTGTCAAATTCCTGGCCCACAGGATGGATGTATCACGCGCTGCCACGCCCACGTCTGGTTAAGTGAAGGGGAAGAAAGTCCCGATACGTCACATGACGCTGTCGTGACGACGTGAGTTTGACACCCCTCCTCTAGATAAAGGTCATCCCTCATGGAGACTATAAAACTGAATTTCCTACATTGACTGGGGATTGACTATGTGAGTGTTAAAGTATCTTCTAACCATAATTTGATGCCCTACAAGAAATTAGCATCCTCTTTTATAAAGTCTGCAGGCTTGGCTGCTAACCAAACACATTCATTTGCCAACAATGTGTGATAGTGATATGACCTTAAACCTCAATCTACAAAATCCCCAGAGATGGCAAATATGAGAAGCAGAGATGACTGTTACACTACCCAGTAAAAATGTATTATAAATAAATCCTAATGCATCCATGTAGATTTTATAGTTTTATAGATAAATCAGAAACCCATACTTGATTATTTTGAATATTGTGTGTATAGTATACAGTACCACATGAAGTTACTATGCACTTGAATACATCTGGTCTTCAAATAGATATTACAAAAATTATTCCACACTTTGGAGAGCAGGCAATTTTTTTCTCATAAATGTGCCAAATTAACACCATTAATTAATAAACTATTGGAACAAGTGATTACAAAATACAAACAAGACTAATAATTATGCATTTATGAAGGGTGGCTCATACAATTTATATGATTAATCATCTAATCATAATTTATATGATTATATGATTACATAATTGATATGATGTCTAAGAATATAGCTTAAAAATTCCTGATGTCTACTGTGTATAATGTGTTACTTTAGAGCCTTCTTGCTTCAATTGGGAATATTAAAAGCTTAATAATTGTTATTTTGTTTTAAACCTATGTGAATAATAACTGTGTTACCGATTACAAATATTCTACATAGAGGGACCCATAACATAAACCAAAACTGTTTAAACTCACTTTTGATATTTAAATGGCATATACTTTACAGTTATAATTTCACTGAATAAATAAAATGATATAATGGAATTACTAAGTCATCTTTTCTTCTAATATATAATTATCTTACAGTATGAAAAGATCTAAAAATCAGTCCCACTGTCATGGAGCTGGATAGAAAAATAACAGCAGCCAACAAAACCTGTAAGTAGAATAATAACATTTCAGCTATAAGTTTTTAAAGCATCAGTTAAAGTGGTTTTCTGCGAAGCTTCTTTTGTTCATAAATCTGAATAAAAACAGACAATGTAAGTGTAGTTCTGACATAACTCCACTGAAGTCGGGGGACTTAAGCTGGTGCAAAGTTTATTCCGGTAATTAAAAGCCAAAGTTAAGCCTATTTTCCTTGAGCATGCTAATGCATGCCTAGACTCTCTCTCAGGGAGGAAAATAATCATCTTCTTATCAAAATGAATGTAACCCGGAATTTAAGAGGAAGAACTTGAAAATAATTTATCTGAGGACTGTTTACAAGGAAACCCTTTTCTTCAAAACCGGAGTTACTAATGCCAGTCAAAAGAATGATTAATCATTCTATAAAATTTTTCATTGTGCTCTCTGAAGTAGGAGTAAAGTTGCTCTAGGACCGTACTGTTGACCACAGGATGAGGGCGCCCTTTGGATTCATGCAAACATCTCTCTCTTCCATCGCTCCTAATGCAATAGAAGCCCTTGGTCTGGTTAAAATAAAAATTTGAAGACAAAATTTTGGAAGGCAGTTTAAGGAATCTTTCCACTTTTTGCAATTCAGGAAGAGGGTCTCTGATCAAAGTATTCCCATCAACTATGTGAATCTGATCCAAGTGGAAATATTTAAGCCATCTCCCCATATGGACGTCATACAGACTTCTCTGGATAGCCTTGTATTTGGTATTAAGGGCTCCGTTTTTTATAACAATGTCTTCAAAGGGCTGAACAGGCTTGTGGTTTTCCAGCCTATTGTAATAGACTTGGGTGTAATCAGAGATAACTCTCTCTGTAGGGTCTCTTAGAATAAGCAGCAGTTTAATAGAACTATTCATATCGTGAATCCTTTCGGGAGCCTGTGGCGAGGTAAAATAGCCTGGCGTTTTCTCAATAGTGATTTGATTTTCATATGAAAATGGCATCAGGCTTCTATACCAGTCTATGCCTTTCACGTAATTTTCATCCCAGTCAAAAAAATGGACTTCAGTAGCTGCTACCACAATGTTTGGGTGAACATCCAACATTTCAAGTAAGGCCCTGGTCCCTCCTTTACGCACGCCAATGATAATCGTCTGAGGTATTTGTCTGCTTGTGCCAGGAGGTCTCACTTGTGCTAAATAGTGTTCACTCTTATTGCTGAGGAGGACTTGCGATGTCAGCGTCTCCACGAGAGCCCCATTCTCCACCGGAGCAGCCTGAGCAGGAGTCAGCAGAAGGTATGCTGACAGTAGTAGAAAGGCCATGTGGAGAGGAAGGAGCAATCAGTGCAAAATGCTGTTGTGCTTGGCTGATGAAACATGGAACTCGTTCCCCGTGGAGGAAGCAGATGTTGGAGCTGGGACCAAAACAACAGTGAACTTCTCAGGCATCTGGAGGGTTGGGAAAAGCAGAAGGACAATAAAGTTATTAGTAGTGGTATCCATTTGCCTCTTCATCTTAACTGAAGGCTTAGATACAAAACCTCCTATAACTCGGAACACAGTAACAGGGGAAAACTGTAGAACTAATTAAGTTATTCATCTGCAAGGTTTCAAAGCAAATGAGATTTTAATTTTAATTCTGTTTCTAAACTGAGTCACCTAATGGAAAACAAGCCAATGCTTCAAATTCTCTCTCTCCCTCCCTCTCTCCCCCTCCCTCCCTTTCTCACACACAAACACTGCCCCCCCTCAGGAAATAAGCATAACCAAATGCCAACAGATAGTATCAATTATTTATTGGAAATATATGCATATATGAATACCCCTCATGCTATTCCTTTTTGGAGTAAGCAATTCTGCAAAGCACAGAAAAGATACAGGAAATGTAAAAAGAAATTAGAAGACAAAGACGAAAAGGGAAAAAAAATCTTACTAAGCCTATTTATTGCAACACTTTCAGCAATACTTTTTTATCCTTGCAAATAACCATTCTTTCCACTATGTCCATACGTAATCTGAGTTAGCTTTCATGTTGTCAAAAGATAACCACCTTTTGTACACCAGACTGGTATCAAATCCAGAAACAGATACATATCCCATTCAAAAGATCATTGTTTGTTGTTCTTCATATAAAACCAGTAAGAGAAAGAGGTACAAGAAATCTGAATATTGGTTATTATATACAAAGCTTGTACTTGATACCCAGCAGTCACTCCAATTCTTTTAAGAATTCTTTTTAAAAGCTTCTTAGCTTTTCTGTAATAAAACTACCTTATCAAAAGTTCTTGGATCTTCTGTGTCTATTTAATTAGCCTGTTAGGAGAAGTCTGGCACAATACTTAATTTTTTTCTTCTTTAAGCTTCCTACCTCTTTCCTACTGTGGATCTTATCAACTTCATCCAACCACAGTTGATTCAACTTCCCCTTCCTTTCCCATTCAACTCACTTCCTTTTTTATATATTTGTTTTGCACTTTGAACCCTATTCAATTATCTCTGTGCGATTCAAATACCACAATAGAATTCTTTCACACTGGTTTTTATAGGCAAAAGCATATTTTTATATGTAGATATTTTCACATATTTTGAAGGAAAAAAAGCCCATTCCCACAGGACTCATTGTCTTTCTAACAGCATGTGTATGTTTTAAAATTTCTCCATTTTTAATAAATGTTCAGCTAGTTGTTCTTGGTATTTAGGCATACATAATTCGCAAATTCTCACTTATAGACAAATAGTTTGCCCTTCAATATATTAATTTTCAGGTATGTATGCTACTCAATGCATCATACAATCTATTTAACAGTCTCTATAAATCATTTGGGTTCTCTCTAACAACACCGCTTCATCTGCATAAAACATACATATACATTCATATTCCTGAATGATACATCTCTAATGCAATCCTTATCCATCCATCCATCCATCCATCCAACCATCCATCCATCCATATCACAAGTAAAAAGACATCACACTCAGGCTATATGTGGTTCTTCTAAATAAACATATGCACATTAAACTTTCTTTCTAGCAGTCATCTATTTTCTAACAACTGTTGAAGATGGGTGGCCTCTTCAACATCTTATGGGTGGCAAATAAATTTAATAAACAAACAAATAAATAATAAGTACACTTCCCAAATATTGCCCATTATTCCTATTGTACTATCATAAATTTCAACAGGAGAATCTCAGACACAATAATGCCCTTATTTAATCCAATGCCCTTATTTTCTTTTGCATTTAGTCCTGTGGTATCTTTCCATTTTTATAGGGGAACAATAATAGAATTCTTCCAATTATCAAACACAGGTAAAGTCTTCACATGCCAAACTATTGTAGAATACTTTGCAAGAATACCACAGCTCAAGTTGTACCACTACATCTGCAGCCTTGGCATTTTTTTCAAGATTGTGAGAGAAATTACGATTTCATTTTTTTTTTCTTGTTTACTGTTATAATTTCAGTCCATCTTTGAATACCACTGCTAATCCCAAACATTTTACACTTCCCATTAATATATGCTCAACATCATGGGTGAAATCTACTTATCTTCCTTACCGGTTCGGAAGGGCACGCACCATGTGCACGTGCTTTGCTCATGTGCTTGCGTCACAGGAATGCACAGACCTTCTGCACATGCGCAAAACCTTCTGCGCATGTGCAAAATCTAAAAAACACATTACTTCCTGGTTAAAATCAGGAAGTAATGACACCTGGCCAAGTGGGCGGAGCTATGCTCTGCTGTCCCTACCGGATCGCCGAACCACTGGCCAAGATTGCTACTGGATCGGGCGATCTGGTCCGATCCGGGAGCATTTCATCCCTGCTCAACATATTTCTGTGATATTTTGTATCATAATTCTTTCCCCTCTGTTCTGAGTAGCTTCCATATTCTAGGATGATGGCGCAGTGGCTAGAATGCAGTATTGCAGGCTAACTCATTGCTCATTCCAGAGTTCAATTCTGACTGGCTCAAGGTTGACTCAGCCTTCCATCCTTCTGAGGTTGATAAAATGAGGACTCAGATTGTTGGGGGCAATATGTTGACTCTGTGAATTGCTTAGAGAGGGCTGCAAAGCATTATGAAGTGGTATATAAGTCTAAGTGCTATTGCTATTTCCTTGCGTTCACTTTCCATTCATTCTATTGAAAAAATAGTCTATCCCCGGATATATTTGCATATTGTACAAGATTTGTATATTTTCTTTCTATGGTTCTTTTACTTGTATGCTTGTTTCTTTTTTCTTCTTTGTCAATTTTCCCCCAAGATCTTTATTCTATAAAATAACGTGTTGGTCACCCAGAAAACCTCATCACCTTTGAATTTCTGAATCTTGATCATTAAAATCAAATCAGTCATACTTTTCAGTTCATGCTGTCACAGATAACCATGTAAACTAGTGGCCTCCAACCTTTTGGGAACCAGGGTCTGATTCCGTGGAGAGGTTTTTCTGTGGACCGGAAGGGGTGTGGTTTTGTGTGCTGCCTGCATCCCATGGATTGGGCTTTGCTTGTTTGCGTGGCTCAGTTTCTGGTATGCTGGCCTGGTGCTGGTCTAGGGACTGAGGGTTGGGAACCTCTGATGTAAACCATATACTTATGCTACAGGCTTTTCCTAAGCAGATACTTACTAGTCATCAAGACTCCTGACACACAAGACATGATCAAGAATTCCCAGTTTTACAAGGTAATACTTTTTAGGCACATAAGGACCTCTATAATCTTCTTTTCTAATTAAAGGGCTTTTCACTTTTCAGAATGAATTTTTATCCTCGTAGTTTTAAAAGCATTTATTGTAATGCATGAGGGGGATGACTGCTCTTCAAATTAAATGTTCTGCTGCAAAGAAATAAGTTAAGTTGTTCTTTGCATTCCACCAAGAATTTGGAAATTCATTGTTTATATAATTGATCGTATATGTAACCTAATCTTGGGGCATTTGAACCTTTCCTAGATTCATTTGTTTTCTAATTGTATTATTATTTTATTGTACTGTCAATTATGGGTGTGTTTGATGCTTTTGCAAACTCTTATGAGTTTGACTTGTAAAATTTTGAACACCTTGAATGTCAAAACAACAGTCTTTGAAGTTATTTACACCTGTGCTACTCTGTTCATTTCTTCTATTATTTTCAACCTCTGTGATCATTAAAATTAACACTACAAGTGAAGATCAGCCGACCTAGGCCCCCACCGGGAGAATATAATTATTACTGGTATTGCATGTAGGTAGCTTGTAGAAGTTACTGCATGTGTTAGGTCACAGACTTAGAGAATAAGCCCTAAACAAGATGTCAACGCAGAGAATCCCCCATTTATTATTTGGGGAAGGTTACATTTTCAATTTCAGTAGGTCACGTTGAAACTGAAGCTCTGTTGATGGTGTGAAGCAAACAATAAAATAGCAATAGGTAAAAGTTAACTTGGTTTCAACCACCTGAACAATAGTGTATAGATAATGTCAACTTGTCAAAAAGGAAATCTTTTCAGCTTGAAAAATGTGATTATTTATGGAAAAATAAAAGGGTGTATTTGAAGTGAAACAGAAGTTGTGTACATGTATGTGCCTTTTAAATGACAATTTTGTAAAGAAGGATGAAAATGTTCCTGAAAAAAATGTTCAGGCATTGACTTTAACTATAAATAGTATCTAATATCAGGATGATTCACAAGTTTTAATTAAGAAAATATAGTTACATATAAGAAAACAGTTCCTTTTCAACATATGGCATTAGGAAAACAACCACAGTTATTCAAATCTTTTTTTTACTACAATAAAGAATATTTTAAATTCAGTCAACAAGACTTAACGAGCATTTTAGCAATTAAAAGTTACATATTACTATAAATGTTAATGCAAAATGTTGTCCAGTCATCATAAGAAAGTACAGACAGCTGACTTGCAAATACTAAATAATTATTCTTTAAAATAAGACTTGATCTTTACTAAAATTTCTCTTCCCATGCACCCAAAGCTTCTGATGTGATGAAATCACAAAACTTGACAACACCAGAGAAAGCTAGAAAAGACCAGTTATGTGGGCAACTTTTCCTACCTCCTAACATCAAAATTATAAAGATTCTTACAGTTTCAATACTGAATGTCTGTAACAGTTCACACTCACCTTATATAGTACCACATAATTATATTCCAATGAAGTTTCTCTTATGTTGATTACTAATGTTTAATGATTCTAGGAGAACCAGGGTAGTGTAATGATTAAAGCAGAGATGTCCAACTTTGGCAACTTTAAGATTTCTGGGCTTCAACTCCCAGAATTCCTTAGCCAACATGGCCGGCTTGGGAATTCTGGGAGTTGAAGTCCACATTTCTTAAAGTTGCCAAGGTTGGACATCTCTGGATTAAAGTGTTAGTTTTTGACAGAAAATAGCTCTTGACTCTAGAGAGACTTCAGGCCAGTTCTCTCTCTCTCAGCAATATTACTG